TCTCTCTCTCTCTCTCTCTCTCTCTCTCTCTCTCTCTCTCTCGTTCTGCTTTATTTCCCTTTCCTTGCCGCTTTCTCTCTCTCTCGTTCGTCCAACCCGATCGATCGTGGTTAGCTAGTACTTTGCCCCCTTCCCGGCACGTCGCTAAGTAGAGAAGTAGACAAATCTCATTTCGCCTGGAATGGGAACCTAGTTCGAGACCTTCGTTCCTCTGTCTCTTCGCTCCGCCTGGTGCTGCTTGCAAATCCCCTCCGATTCGTTCGCTGATCTATTCCAAAGACACTGTTCTGCACCGTTTCTCTGGCGATGACTGATCGCCACGCGAGGAATGTTGCCCTAGACTTCTGCTGCAGCGACCGAAAGCTGGATGGCAAAAGAAAAAAATGGGATAGGACAGGATACGGCAAGAATAGCAAGCAAGCAACTGCCTAGCTCTCCTTCATTTATTCTTTCTCTTCAAGACGGGGAATGCGAAAGCCCCAGTCTCGGAGGGGAGGGAGGAAGGGATGCGGAATATATCTACTGTACCTAGAGCTTAGCTCCCGGCGCATGAGCAACGCGAACAGCTTGGCCAAGTACGGAGCTACTGTACCGGTACATGATCTGAAGCCCGAGCGGGCAGAGCCGTAGCTTGGATATATACGGACCCACCGAGTTGCTACAGTACTACTGGCCAGTCCCTATCTTCCAAATCTGATAGACAGCTGAACGGAACGGAACGGGGCGTGGCGCTGCACACCCTCAGTTCATTTGCGTGCGGCTCTTTAAACGAGGAGGGGAGAGAGAGTCACCGCCGCAGATGCATTGATTGGCCATTGGACACGCACTGCACGCCGTCTCCCCAGCCGATCGACACTAGGCGACTTGGGATGATATGTCTGGGGAGAAAGAATGTACGGAGTACCGTAGGGAGGTAAGGTATGTATGTACTCTGTGATTGATCGCTGTTGCATCTAGGTAATTCCCCGCACATTGTTTGGGGGATGACGAGAAGGATTATAGAGAGAGAGAGAGATATATATATATATATGCATCGCAGTAGATATACATAAATGACTATTATACGGTATATATCTCATCGGACAGTAGCGCTGTAGCGTTGTCTTGACGAAGCAGATAATTCGATGCGTGACCAAGACCCAGGACTTCTTGACGGACTTGGATGGGCCTATCACATCACATCACATCACATCACATCACATCATAGATGGGCGACCCTCTCCTACCGGATACTTACCTACCGGTACTTATCACGCACTTATCAATGCCCCTGGCCCGTGCTTGGCCATGCCCAAACCGGGCCAGCTTGCGACATCCATCTCATCCATCTTTCCATCATGCGCCACGGACTTGTCGAGTGATAGGTTAAGGTAGGTAAGGTGGGCAAGGTGGGCAAGGTGGGCAAGGTAGGTAAGGTAGGTAAGGTAGGTAAGGTAGGTAAGGTAGGTAAGGTGGGTAAAGGTGGGTAAGGTGGATAAGGTGGGTACGGTGGGTAAGGTGGGCAAGGTGGGTAGTTGTTATGCTACCGGTACTTACTACTACTATATTTACTCCATCTGGCCTGGGTTTCACCTATTCTGATATCCTCTGCACGTGCTGGCGGAACTCGCAGTCCAGTTTGGTCCAGTTTGGTCCAGTCTGTCTCTCTTTCTGTTCTTACCCCATCGAGACTTTTCTCCGCTAGCACATACAGTACATAAGGTATGCACATATGTACATCCGTACGTACGGGGATGGGGATGCCACGATCTCTCCCGATCGTTATGGCAAGCGATCCCTACCTACGAGAGCCAGCAACACCGTAATACCGTAATACCATAATACTGTATATAATACTATAATACCTACAATAACTGCATAACAAACTACACAATAGAACAAAAACAATCCCGTACCCTACCTACCTCCTTATCGTACTATCTGCAAGACGAGAAACCAACAGAGATTTGGCTGCAAGAAAAAAAAAGACCCAAAAAAGAAAAACGGGGAGGACGTTCGTTACCTCTTCTACTCATTCCCCGTATCGCTTGCCAGACCCCATTCCCTATCCGTTCGGTGGCTTGCCCGCCTTGCAATTGAGACTGCAGTCCAGATTCCCTCTCTCCAGCTATCTGCATCTGCTATTTCCCATTTATGATCAGCCTGCGGTGTGTACCTCGTACGTCGTCGTCGTCGTCGTCGTCGTCGTCGTCGACTTCAACACCATCCATCACTCCACGCTGCCCGGTATCACTTTTCCCAACCAGCTAGCTGCTATCTATAAGGTAGGTAGGTAGGTAGGTAGGTCCTTACTTACCTTACCTACTCTCGCCATCTCGACCTAAGTCAGAGCATTACCTATACTCATATCTATACCTACACTTCTTATACCCCTATACGTATAGACGTATGTACCGGTACCTAGGTATACACCATATACCTATATACCTACCTGACCATCTCTTGGATCTTTCGCCCGCTCCCCATACCATACATATCCCCCATGCCCCCCCCCCCCTCCAAAACCCGCCCTCCAAAACCCGCCCCTACTCACTTATTGTCACTTGTTATTGACATCGCTTGCTGCCGCTACCCACCTCCTTCTCGATCGATCCCATCGTCTTCCGAGCCCATCGCGACTGCAAGTCGTCGTTCTCCAGCCTCAGGTTCGTTTATTGGCAGGGTGTCTTGCTCGGCGTGGGTTTTGGCCCCTCCCGCTGGAACTTCTAATCATAGGCGGGGGCAAACTGCACAGCTGCAACTGCTACTTCAACAACCTATCCCATCGCAACCCACCCCGTCCGATCCCGAGAACCCCCAGCACCGGCTATACGCAACATCGCATTGTCGAAACAGCTCGTCCGCAATTCATGAACAGCGACGAATCAACCGTCGGGCCAATCAACGTCGCGTCGCAGCCATTTCTGTACCAGGTCGTCCGTCGTCGCGCATTGCATGCTGCTGCAGGCTCTCGAACTTCTCGGATGCCAGCCAGAGCGAGCGCTCTCTAGATCCAGGCGCAAACGCGCTGGAGCACTCGATACCCCTCGTCTTGCACATTGACGTGCCTCGTCACGTCGGGGCACTGGTCCGCCGGCGGAATGTACTCGGCGCAAACGTCAAATGGTAATGTCGGCCTGGGCTCTTCGGGCACCATCAACCCTGCGGCGTTGAGCTCTTCAGGTACGAATTTGCCCCTGCGGTCGCAACTCAGATGCATCGCGTACTTCCGTCTCGTTCGAGTCGCCGATGACGTTGCTGCTCGCGATCGTGATTGCGAATCCTCCATCGCCGTGATGGCTATCCCAAGATGGGCGCTGACAGTTTGGTCCTGCCGTAGGAGCTCTCTCGAATAATACCGCGACAATAACGCCAGACACCAGCCCGAACCCGCGGGGCATGAAGCGGTCGCGCTCCCCGGATACATACGATGCGGCCGACCAGTTTATTGGGGATGGAGGTACGTTCTCTCTCTGGATGTGACAGATGCTTCCCGTCTGGCACTCTCCGGCGGGTAGTCGCCCATGTACTACAACGCGTCTGCCGCTTCCTGCAAATTTGACTGACGAGGTTTCATTACAGGTGACTCAAAGTCGCGAAAGCGTGGACGACCGATGAAATCAAAAACCCCAGGCGTACCGGAAAGCCCATCACAAACCTCAATGCCGTTGCCACATATCCTTCCTCCACAGACCCCCCAGTCGCAGACGGTGACCCTCCCCTCCCAGATGACCAATATCACCCCGACGCAGTCATCGCCTCCCAAGGGCACACCCAGCAGAACCGTCATCAAAGCATTGCCTACCGTGCGAGACCATACCACGGACCAGTTAGGGCCCGAGGGCGATGAATACATCCCACGGGAATATGACGAAGCTGGAGAGAAGAAAGTCACAGCTACGGGCGTCTTGGCGGAAGGACGCGATTACAGATGCCGGACGTTCTTTGTGCCCAACCGAGGGGATAAATTGTTCATGCTAGCTACGGAATGTGCGAGGGTCCTGGGATATCGAGATTCGTACTTGCTTTTCAACAAGAATAGGTCGTTGTATAAGATTATTGCCACCCAGGCCGAGAAAGAGGACCTGATCCACCAAGAGATCTTGCCATTTTCATACCGTTCGCGCCAGATTGCCATAGTCACTGCCAGATCCATGTTCCGTCAGTTTGGCAGCAGGGTTATCGTCAATGGACGGCGCGTCCGGGACGATTACTGGGAGAGCAAAGCCAAGAAGCAAGGATTCACAGAGGAGGATCTGGCTGGAGAGAAGAGACCAGGCGCTGCCAAAGCCCGGGACGCCGCCGCCGCCGAGGCCAACGCAAGCGCGTCGTCCTTGACGCCAGGCCACGGTGACATCGTTTACAGCAACAACCCGGGCCACTTTGGGGTTCATCCTCAACCCCAAGCGGTCCAGCCGGGACTGATGGGGCTCCCCGGAAGTGCGACGACATTACCCATGATCACCCTGGCGCCCGAGCTACCTGACATGCGCTTTAAAGACTACAGCAACATCCAACGGCCCCGGCAGGAAATTACTGGACCGCCGTACCTGGACCGCACACAGACCAGCCCTCCGCAGGAACTCGCGTCACAAGCTCACCAGGCCGCCGAGTACAACAAGACGGTCAATCAGCAACGGGCCCGGAGCAATGAATATCTTGAACAACGTTGGAGGCAGCCGCATGAGGCTCGGCCTTCACATATGGCCGCCCCTCAGTCAACCGGGACCAACGAGGGTCTTGTATCGACCCAAGCTTTGCAATCTCCCCGCATTGTACATAGCGGTCCTCAGCAATCGGCCATATCTCAGCAAACCCCGCATCATATGATGTCTCAAGCCTTCTCGCAACCTTCGCATGTATCAAACCCCGTAGCTCAAACGCCCATGAGAGGGCCGTCTCAAGGCTCGATGAGGCCCGATCAGATGGGAAGATCACCTGGTCTCGCACTCGGCCCAGGCTCTCTTGGGGGGCAAGGGAATACGTACGGGTTTGCGCAACCAAACCAGATGTGGCCACCATCTCAACCTCAGCAGTCACCCCAGCACTTCTCCGGCTACGCTTCCCAGCAGTCACCGCATCTCCAACAAGCTTCACACCAGCCATCGCCACTACGCCAGCCTGGAAGCAACCCTCAGATGCAACCAGCTTTGCAGTATCCAGGAATGCAAGGGATGGGTCAAGGCTATCCTGCCCCAAGCCGAGGTCTGTACCAGCCTGACCAAGGCGCTCAACAATTTATGCAACCAAACACGTCTGGTCCTCCCAGTGGCCAAGGATGGGCTGGACAGCCGCCGCCAGGATCTGGGGGCAGCTGGGGCTATCAGTAGCGGGTGTGCTAGCAGCACATATAATTACGTCTTACGAACTTGACGGGGAGAAGAGTACGTATATATGCACGAATTCACGTATCGCGTTTGGTCGTATGGTATCACGACTACCGAATAATAACGATTCGCAAACTACGCACTGCATCAAGGGAGAGTCATGGAGGGCAGGATAATCTGTCGGCTCAACAAATGTGTCTGCCTCCTGGGTGCATTTGGCCGCAGCGGAGGAGTTGGCGTCAGTCACAAGAGGCGGTTTCTTTTTTTTTTTTTGGTTCTTTTTTTCTTCCCTACTACGCTGCTTTCTGTGTATAGTACATAATTCTTGCTCTAGTATTCCTTTATTCTGATATACCTCTGTTTTAGTTGCTTGTCGTTCAATCCCCTTTTATCTCCTTGGTTATGTGTTGATATTTCCACTCCGGCCTTATTCAGTCATGGCTGGAACTGAGGTTCTTTCCGGATAGCCACCAGCCCACTATGGCTCTTCTTTTGAACTTTGTGTTATTCGGAAAGGATTGATTGAAAGTTTTTGGCACTTTGGCACTTTGGCACTTCGGCAATTTGGCATGCGGGCTCCAGGGCTTGTTTGAGAGCGTTGCAAGGACTGCCGTGGATTATTTTTTTTCCGTCTCACTGTCGGGGCTTGGGATACACATGTCTGCGTTTGCATCTAGGTATCGGTTGCATCTATGCAGGTGGCTTGGCTTCCTTGGCTCGTTTTCTGCGTGGACGGTACTCTAGCTTAGGCGGGATTGGAGGCTGGCTTTTTTTTTGGTTTAGTTGGGATACGTCTCCTTCCCTCTTGCGCTTGAGTGAAATAGGAACAATTATTCTCTCTCCCTCTCTCTCCCTCTCTTCTTCTACACTTCCTGAATATCTAATCTGAACCTACGAACACCGTTCGGATCTTACTGCTGGTTGACAAGCTTTTCCTCAAAAAACCAACCTCACGTCGAAATTGATATGTGGAACGACGGGCAAATTTCTTCTAGGCTTGTTCACCCGCTCGATCGCTCTCTCGGGCTCTGCGAATCGTCCGTCTCACTGTCTTTTCTTCTTCTTCTTCTTCTCCCTTCCATCCTGCCACATCACGGTTTGCAATAGAGCTAGCTAGGTAGATGAGCAGGTGAAACGGTACGTATTCGATATTCATCTCATCCATTTTTATTTTTATTATTTATTATTTTAGCGGTTGAGCTGACGCTGGCTGGCTGGCTTGAGACGGGTGGAAGTGGGCATGATTTGATGGTTTTGGTTTGGTTTATTTCGTTTTGTTTTGCATTGTTTATTTAGTAGGTGAAGAAAGGGTGTAAGCGAGCGAGTTGATGGATGGGTGGGTGGATGTGAGGAAGGAAGGGAAGCAAGGAAGGCAGTAAGGAAGGCAGTAAGGAAGGAAGGCAGTCTTGAGGAATTGACGCAAAGGTTTAAAGTGGAGTTTCAAAACTCGGAGCCACCTTCGGCGGGAATTATTACTTAGGGCTGTACTGTACTGGTTCAGGGCTATCTAACGCGCTGTGTAGGCATAGTCCCAGCCAGCAATGGGTTAAACCGCCTGAACCCGCCGACGGACCGTCTTCTGACGGAAACCGATACCGAGGTACAGAGCGGAGTTGGTACGTATAAAACAAAAAGCTGAAACGCAAAGTCCGTCATTGCATTGATCATGCAGTAGCAGATAGATGAGATGTACGGGGTAGCCTCACCCGGATTTTATACTTTCCCCCTCACGTTTCTCCGGACGGAGTAATCGATCGCCTGAGCCGCTGGTGGTGGTGCGCTTGGGGAACCTGAGACTGAGAGTACCGGTACCGACCGGTAGCCGAGCGAGAGCTTCTCCTTACTGGCGCACGGCTACAGAGGATGGTCCCTCCCATGCGTTGATCTTCGTATTTTAACCGGGGATGGATGGATGGTTGGTTGGATACGGAGTAAGCAAGCGTAGATAGGTAGATTTGACTCAAGATGTCCGTATATTGGGGATGGTAGAGGAGAGAGGGATGGCATTTGCTCTTGTACGTAGTAAAAGCCGTTGTGTTCTATCTCTATTGTCGCCCCGCTTCCCTCCTTTGCCCCCCCCTATCTTGCTAGGGAGCCGTTGTTACTTAACCCCGTCTGTTATATACCTAATTTATCCCGAATCCGGCCGAGCCCTTTGCTCCCAGAGAGCCGCGCATCCACTCCATCCTGCGGCGTGGAACGCCAAACGGTGACGTCGAGTTGTACATAGGTACATAGGCACCGGTACATACATACCTACTTACATCATTACCTTCCCACCCCAAGTGGCCACTCCACGAACGAAACAAAGAAAAGAAGAAGGAAAAGACAA